CTTCGAGGTATTGAAACAATAAGCATTGGAAAGTTATGTAAGGAATGTCGTTGACTAAAAGGGGTTCGTAAATATTTTTTCTTTATTAAAGATAATATATTAAAGACATTGTGTAGGAAGAAACTTTTATAACAATTTTTTTATCCACATCATCCCATGAATTTTTATTGTCAGGATAGTGAATGAAACCACGAAACTAACCCTTATTACTAAAAATAAGCAGTAATAGGTCATAAAATGAAATCTCTTTGTGCTTCATGTACATTAACATTTTCTCGCTAATATGATAATCATTCATTATAGCTTTCATTCTACACATGTAGGCAAATGTGGTATGCTTGAATTTATATGTGTATACATATTTTAACATGCTCACGCTATAGTTAGCCTGCAACTTGTGCCCCCTTACCCATTCTTCTCACATAAATATTATTATGTGATTAAAGGCGATTCAAGCACTATTTAACATTTATTTTAGTCATGACTTCATTAAAACTTTTTTGATAACATTTATTTCCAAGTATTATCGGACTGTTTATGATGTGGGTCTATTTCTGAAGAAAATATTATATTATTAGCATATATTTGATATTTATCAAGCAAGTCTTTTGGTTTCTTACTTAGACTTAAGGGGATCGTTCGCATTTGACGTCAGGAACGTTTTAGGGGGTCGATTAATTTTTCCGTTCATCAAAAAACAGGATTTTAAGGCTTTTATCGATTACAAAATAAAGTAAATGTCACAAATCGTTAGATTTCATTCTCCATAAATGTTGGACATCCTAGGTGAACTACCCCTTAGGAAAAAAATATTAAATGTGTCAACATAAAATTTACTTCACTTGGTAAATAAATTGTGCAAATGTTTTATTACAACTTAGAAATTACATTTCTTCTATAAAATTATTGATTAAACTAAGCTGCACATTTTCCGCATCAAATTTGTAATTTCTCTTCTGTTGGCCATAAAATGAATAATTTACTTTTATTATGTAATTTATACACTGAAACTTAATCTGGCATATCTTAAAAAAAGTTCAAATGTGTAACAAGATTTGTCAAGGGGATAACAACATGATGAGGAACGATTTTGATGAGAATCTCTGAACTATTTTTTAAACTATTTAAAATGTGAACTTCAAATAGGCTTCCTTTCAATTTTCAACCAATTTATAAACTTTTTACATTCATGTTGTTGACACTTTCATATTGTTGTACCCTTTATGATGTCTTCCCCTTATTTGGGTTTCCCCTTCATATTGTTTTCGGTTTCATAATGTTTTTCCTTCATATCGCTTTCCCCTTGAAGATTTATCAAGTTACTCCATTTACGTCCTACTATATGACCAATTATCTTTAAAATTCATTCCATCTGAAGTGCTCAATTATAAAATTTTGGTTTTTAGAGACAGAACTTTCTTGAAGGCATCCTCATAGACACTTGAATAATAATTATATTGATCAACTCGGAAAGTTCTCCAAACAGCAATATTGTCGATAAAATTCAATGATACATTCATAAAAATTCAAACAGCTTAAGAATTCAAATATAAGATTTGCAAAAATATTCAATATAACATTTCAGATGATTTCATCATCTTCATATCATTCATTCATTCATTCATTCGTCATGCATACTTAATCTCATAAGCAAACATATAAGTTTGTGTTGTATTTGATTTTATGAGAAAATGGAATTCAATGAGGAAAATTAAATGGAATATGAGAAGTAATAGAGATGAAGTGAATATAATTAGACATTGCATTGAAATAGAATTTTACTTACTTGAATGACTCGAAGAGCATGAGCAATTTTATGATTTTTAATGTCATAGCAAAGAAGAATTTTCCATGTGGAATTGAAAATGGGTTGAAAAAAATTCTTTAGAATTTTGAAAATTTGTTTTAATGAAATATTTATGTGCTTTTTGTTGCTCATGAATATTCAGTGATGGGTTCTGATTTATATATATCCACAAAATATTAGATGTGCATAGTTCATATTAAGAATAATTAGAATTTGATCCAGTAGTGAAGATATAGATTGGGTAAAAATGACTCGCATCTCACCGATTATTCATTGCATTCCTTTTCCTTTTCAAAGTTTTGACTACGGGGCAATATCAAAGCTGCCATAAAAATCTTCTGCGTACAATTTTAATGCGCCATAAAATCTTTTGCGCACAATTTTACTGCGCCATTTAAATTTTGTGCGCACAATTTTACTGCGCCTTAAAAATCTTCTGTGCACAATTTTACTGCGCAATAAAAATCTTCTGCGCGCTTTATAAACGATCAATATAAAAAGTTCTTTCCTCGTTTTAACTATTAAAAGACAGTTCACCTTCCCATTCCAAAGTTCTTACTACACCACTGATCCATCTCAAAAATTTTTCATGTTTTCTTAAAATTCATTTACTTGATGCAATATTCCTGGAAATGAAGCAATGAATAACCGCAATTGCAAAGGAAATACAAGCAGAATTCAATATATTCACTTATTTTTAGAACCACACATATTCTTAGTGGATGTGGAGTGGGTTTCATTCATGTAGAAATAAATTTAATGTGACATAAGAAAATAAATGAAATAAAAAATATGAGGAAGACTTCCAAAAAAATAAAGAAGAAATTTAAAGAAGGAAATATTTCCACACCATAAATCAAATAACCATAAAAAGTCATTGTCGTGTTATTATTAATTTCTGTCACATTGTATAATAATTTATATCAGTCAATGCAGTCAGTGTCATTTCATTCTCATCTCAAGTGTCTGTCTCATCATCATGACCCCTCAAAAACAGAGAAATAAAAATAAAGACATAAAAATTGTAATGACACAAGAGCTGTATACAAAATAATATCCATCAGTGTGCAATCCCATAAATAGAATAAAATTTCTGATGAGTTTTAGAGTTTTGTTGCCCTTCCTCATTCATTCAATGCCTTGTTTTATTTCACACTGAATTGGAACAAAACAAATAATTAAAAAAGATATATTTTCTTAAATATAAAAATCTTCCATCTGGTCTCTCATGATCAGTCATTTATTTGCTCAGAATGGATGTGTATTTTCATATTCATTAATGTTTGAAACACACTTCATGTACATCTATTGCAATGAATAGAAAAGAACTTTGGGACTTATGGGTTCGTTCGTAAATGATGTTCATTAAATATGAGATTAATGGAACCTTTGACACAGTTGTTCTCAAACTGTGGGCAGCGGCACTCTAGTGCGTGTGAAAAAATTTGTAAAAAATGTACCGTTGACCAAAAAAATTTTAAGAAACACTGCTCTTACATCTGTCACCAATTTTTATCTTTTTCGGACCTCCCACCCCCTTTTTAAAATATGGACATCATTTACATCCGACCCCCTTTTACTAATATTGTTCTTCAACGACTCAAAATCAACAATATTCTAACTTTATAAGTTAATTTACTTACTCTCCCTTTCACTTGATAATAAAAATTTGTGAATCATCTGAAATATTCATTAATCACACGCACAAGAAATTTGAGTTTTATTGAAATTTTTTGAAAAATTGAATTATTTCCAATTATTTCCAGCATTGCATTCAAAAATCAAAATAGACCAATTTAAATTCATAGAATTCAATATTTTACTATTCTTTATTCCTAATTTCCTATTTGAGCTACAAAAGATATGTTTTTTGTTTGCCACACATTGCGTTACTTTCATTAAAAGGACCTCCTTTCTTTTCCGATGAATGCAATTTATATTTTTGGAAACTTGCTTCTAGTTTTATTTTGTCGTTGCGTCTTGATGAAATTGCTCTGTTATTACAATAAACTAGTCTTCTTTCCTTGACACCTTGGATAACAGTAAATATGTTCGACCTTCGAAATAAACAAGCGCGTAGCCAGGGGAGATTTGGGGCCCCCTTCGTCATCAGAAATTTCTACATTTTGCTAGGGTCTTTATGAAAAAACTCGCAACACCCCCCCCTTCTCTTAATAATTCTATTCAAAAAAATTTTTGGCCCCCTTTTCAGATTCCTGGCTACACTTTTAGAAGTAAGTAAGTGAAATATCCCATTATAAAGTGATCTTCATTGCTATAGTTGGTGTCAAAGGTTGTTGTTCAGGGTCGCTCCAAATTTTTTACATCCGAAATTTCATGGAAATTTTGAGGATTCAACGGTTTTGTGTTATATTATTAGTATTTAAAATCATGAGGTTTAGTTTTATGCTTTTCAAAACTCTAAACATGCGCATCCAATTCTTCATTTTCAACTCAAACTTATTTATGTTTAAAAAAATTCATGGTGCGGAAAGAGAAACCAATAATTTGAGGATTTTAAAAAGACACATACAATAAAAATAGCATTATAACTATAGAGGAGGGGAACTGCTCACATCAGATGTTATGATCAAAGAGAGAAACAGAGAAAAAGAGAGTGAAATCAACGAAACAGATGGATCGAAATGTTGGATCATAGATGTCGCTAGTTTACTTCCAACATGGAATTAAATGATGGCGCGTTCTGCTGAGAAAATAAATAACGATTGATCATACTTATTAACTTTCTTCGATGACCTTACAGATCAATTGTGATCTATGGCTTTCCTCAGATGCCGCCTAAAACTGGCTCTATCGCTGGCTATCGCTTTCCAATTTCCTATGCAGTCTCTATCAACATTCCATGAGTTATTTGGATTGATCATATGAACCAGCAATTTTCAGTAATGTTTAATGTTTAAATAATCTTTTCCATTTTTGTAAGGGTCCGTTCACTAATCACGTCAGAAATTAACGGTCATTTTTGAAGTAAGAACAATGGATTTCCAGGAATTTTTATTGTTCTTTTCTTGCTGACCCCGGACGTCATAATAAACGGTCTCTAGTATGAGTCATTATGTTTTTTGTGAAAACTACAAAACATAAAGGATAATTATCATTTTGTGGTTGATTTGCTAAAGCTGTAACTTTTTGATAAGCATTTGAAATGCTTGCAATGCGTAATTTAAAAATCATTTGTTTTTATCATGAATTCATGTTTTATTCGTTTGTTCTCTGATTAAGTTTATAATAAAAATGTTTTTAAAATGAAAATGTGGATGTTTAATTGTTCTGTGCATTGATTTTGTTTCTGTATTCTTCGTATGAAATATAATCCTGTTGAAAAAAAAGAAATAGTCAATGAATGAATATGTTTTGTTGAGAATGTTATAAACTGCCAAGAAACCTAAAAGCTTAAATAAAAACCACTTTTAAGAAGATTTGTAAATAATGTCCAAAGCAATAATTGTTAGACTGAAAAAATATCACCAAAATCTGTTAAAATGTTAAAAGAAAAGAAAATCAATCCACACTAATAGAAAGGAAGTAAATAAAGCAGTGAATTTTGTTTAAAAGAACCACAAGCAAAAACTCAAGGCACATCATCATCACCGTCTTTTGGATATCCATTCCATCGAATAAATTTTGTCTAAATTTTCAATTTATAGTTTCATTCAGATCTAAAGTTCAATAAAAGATCTTAGATAGTTCAATAGGAAACAACAACATCAAATAAAACACAAAAAGTATATTTTTTTTACAAAAATAAAGATAAAGTTAAATTTCTTTAAAAGATAGGTATAAGGAATGTAAAAGACATCAACAGTAAGATTAAATATTTAAAAATATCCTCGCACCTCCCACAAAAAGTCGTTCCAGTTAGGGAACAGACGTTTGAATGATCTCGGTTCTCCTCCTAAATTAAAAGATCAATTAAAAAAGATTCAAAGTCCATAAACTTTCATGCAACTTACCTTGTGGAACTTGAATCAATGGGACAGTTTCTTCACTACGTTCAGTTGGATCAGTACGGATGTATTCCTGTTTAAAAAGTATTAAATTGTTACTTTCTTTATGCAAACTCAAATGCCGTGACTTACCTTTGCCATTTCAAGACTTCTTTCCTTTTCTTCCTCAGTTGATCCTTGACCAATCCAAATGTAAACCTCATCACCGCCATCAAGAACCATAATGTCATCAGGTTCCAAATCATCTTGTTCGAATTGAGATACTTCTTCGACTCTAAACTTACCGCTATGAACTGAGCAATGGAACAATCGTGGATCTAAGAATGGTGCACCTGCTGGATCGATTTCAGTATCATAATCAGCTTTTCCACCCAAAGCATCCCAGAATTCTTTTGGTTCACTTCCTTCATTAATTACAATTGGTTTACGATCAGGTGAAATTGTCTTGCTTACACTACCGCCCATTGAATGTTCAAAGTCGTTAGCGCCTTTTCCGTACCAAATGTAAGTGTTTTTAGGTGTTTCAAGAATAAAGACATCATCTGATGCAAGTGCACTGGCAACTTCTTCAACTTGTGATGCACGAACGTCTTCAGCACATGTACCACGAATTCTAAACAATCTTGTTCCATCAACATCATATGAGTCATGATCATGAATGTTCTTAAATCCTGAAGCTTTACCACCAGTGAACACAACAATTTTTCCTTTAAAGATTTTAAGGAAGTGACGGGGTTCAAAGCCCTGAACAACACGAACTTGAATTGCTTTTCCTCCCAATTCATTTGATAATTTCACTGAATGAAGTGCTGATGCAGTTTTTTCGTCAGCTGTTGAATTCAATCCTTGCCAATAATAAATGACATATCCATGTCCACCACGTTTATTTTTGTACTCATATTTTACAACATATGAATCACCACCAAAGAAAAATCCATAATTTTCAACGGCAATTGGAACAAGTTCCATATTTTCAATACGAAAAACTTCAGCATCGCCTTCACCATTATCTGGCATGAAACCAATTGCTTTACCTCCACTCTTCTTCAATTTATGTAAAACTGAGGCATCAAATTCTACATCTGTTCCGGTATCGCTATCATCATCATTGGCAGCACGAATGAGACGTGAATGTGAGGCACCATGATCTCGCCCTTATATTAAGGAAAATTGAAGAAATGAGAAATAAAATATTTTTGGCTCCACATAATACCGCAGTGAGTGCTCATTTAAAGGAAATAATGATATAACTTACATGTAAAGAAGTATTGCTTGAATGGTGCTGTTTCAGCTCCCTCAACAATTCTTGTAACCTTTGTCCATACTGGATATTTCTTGGTCTGTAAAAATCCTTGAGCACGAGAAATAGCTTGTTTCTTCTCCTGTTCTGTTGCCTTCTTTCCAACCCAAACATAAATACCACTTCCAGTATCAAGGATAAAGCAGTCATTCGTGTTCAACATTTCTTGCTTCAATGGTTTTTGTGCGATTGGTTCAACCTTTAATGAACCGCTAGCATCAGAAACTGTATACAATGCTGTTACTCTTTCTTCACTGCGTTCAAATGCTTCGTCATCTTCAGCTGTTGATTCATCGGGAACTTGGCTTGGAGATCCTGATCCTAAGACTTCGAAGAAGTGCTCCTTATCACTTCCACTTGAAAATTCATCAACAATTTCGACTTGTGCACGTCCATTGTGATCTTGATCACGAATTTGGTTTGCAGCACTGATTGCCTTCATCTTCTCAACACGTTTTGCCTTTTGTCCAACATAAACATAAATTTTGTTTCCAGCATCAAGAATAAAGCAATCACCTCTGTTCATGGAACCAATTGTCAAATCAACTTGACGAACACGAATGTTCTTCTTGCCTTTAACTTGGAATAAGCGTTTTTCACCTTGAGCATTAATATCTGTCTTTTTAAAGCCAGAAGCAACTCCACCCGGCATATAACGGATACCACTTTTAAAGTAGTTAAGGAACAATTGTGACTCATGATCTTGAACTTCTCTGTGTTGAACAGGAGCTCCACCTAATTGATCATCAAGTTGAACAGTGTAAATTGCAGCAGCACCAGCTTCATCTTGTGTGGTTTCCAAACCAAGCCAGAAATGAACATCCCATGACAATTTCTTATTTTTATCTTCCAACGTCTGAGTTTTTTGAAATTCAGTGGAAAAATAATAATTATTTTCTGAATATGATTAAATGCTGATGCATAAATTGCTAATTGTGCAATTATGAAAATTAATCAGACAAATATTAAAACGATTCCAATTTGCAAATACGAGAGGAAGTTAAGGTAGCATTAATTGGTGATGATTGAAGCGCAGAAGTCGGTTACGAAGACTAACGAGTTGAGTTATTGTTGAAATTGATCCCTAAACTAGTCGACCCTAGTAAGTTGATTTTAGATTCTTGGGAAGCTATTACTGGCTCAGTTAAACTTTATTAAAACTTCATGCTTAAGTACAGTGTGCAAGGCTAGCCTAGAAACCGACCCTAAAGTCATAGCTACACTTTTCGAGATGGGGAAGGGTTAGAAAAGGGCGTTGATTTGGGAAAGAAAATTGAATTAATTTTTCAGTCAAGAGAGAAAAGCTGACCTCTGCTGCAGCGCTAATGCCTTTAAATTTGATATAAAAACCCGAATGGCACAAGTCGGTTAATCGATGACAAATCCGGAACCAAGCCAGTTTGACTCTGGCATAATGCTGGATTTAAATTGATACCAAAATCATGCCTGCTTGTTGCTGGATTTCTCTTCGTTGAATCAACTTGTGCTACTCGGGTAAACAATTGCATCCACCAGGATAACAAAAATGCAGCCAGACAAAAATATTGCCTGACATTTTGTGCTCAAAAAAACTGCAAATAGATGTCTGCAGAAAGCTTACAACCCGTAAGCTCTGCACACACATAAATTTATTAAAATAATGCATGGAATTAATATTTGCAAATGGATCCAACAACAATAAAATAAAGGCACAAAAATTAATTAACTCAACATACATATGAAGAGCCGGTTCATATATACATTCGTAAATAATTAAAAATTATTTTTATGACTCACATTTAGCACAATGTACGAATCGCCGGTATAAAATTTACCATAATCATTTTTGGGATATGCTTTAGGCTCGAAATTCTGTAAATAGAAAAATAAATGGAGATTAATTAATAAATGACAATAACTTGTTATCATGGGGTCAATTTCTGTTATATGCATAATCAGAACCTTAATATTAAGTCATAAAAGCAACATTCGGTCGACCGCTTTTAAATGTCGCTTTCAATTTTATTGCTTTCGTATGTGCTGTACATGTATCTAATGTCGACGTGAATTTTACAATTCTCATAAATCTAATGAGATTTTGTCCTCATCTTATGCATGCAAAATAATTTCCAATTTTAGTATTTTTATTTCCATTTTTGAGCACATGCTTTACGAGGTTCATTACAGCACGTTTTAATTCTTACTGTCATTTTGAACTCATTCATGTTGTCTACATATGTAAAACATTGTGTACCATCATAAACATTTACTTTTAAAATACATTTATAGACTTTTTTTATCACGGCAGTTCAAGTCTGACTAACCAAACGTAGCAATAAATAATGAATTATTAAAAATAACCTTAACAATGTTAATTAAGAAAAACATTTCAATAATTCTCAACTTACTGATTTTTGAGACTAGTCTACGTCATAATATTAAGTGGGAATCTCGAATGGCAATAAAAGTCTATGGTCATTTGTAAATGACGTCCATCAAATATCAAGTTTGACTCCCAAAATCATTTCTTTCGCAAAATCTTTTCTGTCCCAAAATCTTCAAACAAGACTTGTTTTGTTGCTCTTGAAAAAATATTTTTGACATCAATTATGATCGACCTCTTATTTGTATTGTTGTGAATCATGAACAATGCCAAACTTTTTGGTGAATCAGACATTGCGTAAAGAAACAAAACAAATTCATCGAACAACTAGAGTGCAAAAACTTGTTTTGGCTGATTTCGTATGGGGGTCGTTCACTTATGACGTCCGAATTTAACGGTCATTTTTCATAAAAGAATAATGGATTTCCAGGAATTTCAATTGTTCTTTTCTTGCTGACCCCCCCCCCCCCCCCCCCCCTTGGACGTCATAAGTGAACGGCCCCTTGGATGTTACAGTTTCGCCAACATTTAGCATATAAACTGGAAACTGTCTTTTAAAGGTTAAAAAGAAATGAATGTTACCGGGCTTTAGCTTTTGCGTCACATTTATAGAAATGTTATAATTCATTCGATTGTGATGCTGGTTGACGATTAAAAGTTTCTCAAATGACGAATGACGAATAATTGGTAAACCCGAGATTTTTAATTAACAGTCATTGAATTACATTTAAAGTTATTCAGATCAGGTTTGAGTCATTTGATGCAGTTAATTCAATCCACATAAAGTTTATTAATTGATTAATTAATTGTATTTATGGCTTGTTTTTTTCTTGGTGGACTGGGTCAGATTCTTGGGAATCTTTAGGATTGATTGGCCTTCACATGAAAAGCTTCTAGAAAAAGCAGGTCAACAAGACATCAACAAGGAGATTCAGATGAGGAAGTACAGCTGGATTGGACATACACTTCGTAAGAAAAATGCCAGAGAGAATGTCATTAATGGGACAGAAACACAAGTTTGTTACACTGCCTTTGGTTAGAATACGTAAAGGAAAAGACGCCCTGGAGCTCCAAAAGCTACATGACGCAAAACAGTGATGAAAGAATGTCAGCTTAATGTGCGGACAGAGAATATTTACAAACTAGGTGATAGCAACAGAGTCAGATGGAAAGCCTTTTGTTGTAACCTAAGCTACACATAGGAACATGGTTACAGTAAGGAAGTAAGTTTGTTTTTAAGGCATTACCAGACATTGAGGGTCAATCTGAAATAGCTTTAAAATCAAATCCCTGGTAGGAGCCCTGCACTTATTACGTCCAGGGGGGGGGGGGAGGGGTCAGCAAGAAAAGAACAATTGAAATTCCAAGAAATTTATTGTTCTTTTTTGAAAAATGCCCCTTAACTTTATCAGTTAGTAACTGACAGTTACTGACAACTCTGCACATTCACGCTCACCGAAAATTTAATTTTCATCAAAATAAATTTTTTCAAAACATCTTGCATGGAAAGAAGTACTAAACAACCGTAGAAACGAAACAAATTTAAAGGAAATTTCATTTAAAACGAAGTCCATTAGCAAAAAAAATTTTGTATCTGACATCTGTGCGAAGACGTGTGTTAACCAGTGCTAGCTCGACATGTTACATTTTCTTAGCAAATACTCGGGAAATTCATCATAAAAAAATAGCTTGATGTTATATGATATTAAGTTCCTATGTCTCTTCAAAACCAAAATATACAGTGCGTGCTTCTAAAAATAGTTCTAGTCTGTTTATCAAAAATTTAATCCTACACAGCAGATATGCCTGGTATTTTTCTAAATTTTACAAGATTATAATACATTTATTGAGTAATACATTTTTGATACGATTACTAAGTCACAAATTTATCAGCAGTTTATGACTTATCACTTGAATAATGACACAACTAGTGATTAGTTCAATATAGTCATATAAATAAGGCAGTATCTAATTTTAGATAAAGTATGTGGTGAGCTAAAGTGGCTCGGTGGCGGAATGGTTTAGTACTTCGGTACCTAATTATTGCAATACCGACACAGCGATCATGGGTTCGAGACTGGGTATGGGAAATTTTTCACTTGTCCTTTTTCGAATCATATGTACTGGAAATGAGGCTCACAGCCTTCCTTTGTAGGCTACAGACAGAAATGTCATCAAAGGAGTGGTTCGGATTCCACTATAAATTGTAGGTCTAGGTTTGAGTGCAGTGGTTTGGCGCATCCTCACTCGTTAAACTCTCATTAGCTGCGAATCGCCTTAGCGCACCTCTGGATCACAATTGATCTGAATAGGTAAAGGTTTTTTTTTTTTTTTTTTTTTTTTTATTATGTGGAAAATAATTTGAAAATTACTTCATTTTTTGGTGAAAAGTCTGTCTTGAATCTTCACAGCTTTTGTTTAATTTTATTGCTTCATAAACCAAGTAAAACTCGAATTTTTTTGAAAAATTATTTTAGATTTGCGGTGTTAATATTTATCTTAAAGCTCGACTGAATCTACTCATTTAAACAGCAATCAATCTAATTTTAATCATCTTTGATGATTCACACATCAATTTGGACTATTATCGAATTTTTATTATGAAGCAACAAGTTATCACGTGTTCTTGTTATTCTCACAAGTGCCTTTTACCCCTCAAAACAATTTGGAAAACTTTTTGATAAAAGCAAGATTGCAGAGCCAACAAGACTTTTAAAAACACGATCGATAAATGGGTTTGAACAACAATTTAAAAGCGGTAATGATATGCAATTTGGAACCTTTCCAGTTGGGGAATATATTAAAATAAATCGATAGAAATTGTTTTTTTTTTTTTTTGTTAAAAACTGTTCGAGTTCTTTGGCTGTGCAAACTTAATTTGAGATATGTTGTGAAGAAAAATCTTGAATGGGGTTGTTCATAAGTTTAGACTACAAATTAAGGAGTTATATAGGGGAGTGGCCTGGCAAAGATTTTTAGAAAATTAATTAAGCCTAATTTAGTCAATTTTCTATAATTTTTTTAATACTCCCCATACCCCCCCCCCCCCCTCTTTAAATTTTCTGTCGATTAGTCTATGATTCTGGGTCTCTTTTGCCTCTCCTGTACGCTATATACTTGACAATGGGTTCAAAACTCAACCTATATACTTAAAAGCTGTCTTCTAAGCTTTATACCAGTGTTGTCTAAACTGTGTGCCGTAGAAAATTTTTGGTAACGGCTCAAGCCGCATGCTCTGTGCGATTTTGGTCATGGCTTACCCCTAAAGTGACCTGTGGCTCAAAATCTTTGGACAACACTGCTTTATACAATCAATACTTGCTCAATCCCTGCCTTATTTACCCTATTCTCAATCCCAGGCCATGTCTAATTTTCGAAGCTCTTTTTCCTTTTACCGTTCTAGTTACGAAGCTCGGTTCGTGTGCTGGGTGTAGTTTTGAGGTCTTTGGCACAGAATCTGCCTCCTTTGCTAGGTATACAAGGATATACTAGCATCTGGATGACTTCCTTACGGCATCTTGCGCACACGAATTGTGACTAGGTTCATTGCAGGGTACATCAGGTCTTATGACGTACTCGTGTCTTTGCAATGTGCAGAGCTTGCAAGTGGTTCGGATCCCACTATAAACTGTAGGTCTAAAGGGTGTGGTACAAAAGATTCTGTTCTAATTTGAATCGCAGTGCCTCCAGCTGAAAGGCTGGGCCCTTCACACATTATTATATTATTATTACCCTATTCTTGCACTCATATGCTTTGCAACTGAATTTTATGCTCTATATCTGCCTAAAACGCTTTATAGTTGACTTATGCATCTATTTCAGTTTTGTCCAAACTGTGTGCCGTAGAAATTTTTTGTAAGTGACGCGAACCGTTTGCTTTGTGCGACTTTGGCTTACCCCTTAGCAGTGCTGTGGCTCAAAAAAGTTTGGACAACACTGATCAACCTTATGCAAACTATACTTGATCTTTCCCTATGAAAACTACAAAAATATATGAAATTTTCTTTTAAAAGTATAAAAAAACTAGTTTTTTAACAGACTTCATTTATAAACAGCCCCCCAATTGTTAATTTTCTTAATTAGTGAAATATTTCACACTTTAATAATCGATAAAAGGTTTATAGTTGCTGCACATATTCCCAGACCATAAAAGTGAACAATCTAAACAATACTTTGATAAAAAAAATATATATTAACTTTTTTATCAGTTTGATAGTGGCAGATTTTGCGATATTGTTTAACAATATTTTTTTCTAAAGCACACAAAGCATGACGATGTAAAGTTCGTACAAAAATTTCGACAATTCTTAAGAAATCGCCTCAAGATAAGACTAAGTGAATTAAAAAAATAATTATCTTACCTCAATTCGCCAAATTTCCATGCCCTTTTTGGAACCGGCACTTGTAAAAGCTTGATGCATGACTCTATTTCCTGGACGGGTCTGTGTAGTACCACAATAAACTGAACAAACTAGCACTAAGACGCTGAAATAATTTTAATTAAAAAATATTATTTAAATCACAAGAAATTTTTGAGACTTCTTTTGATCTACACTACCTAAAAGCGACTGAATAAATGCCGCAAAGTTTCCTCATTTTTCTCACTTTGTAGCTTCTCTCAGTATGTTGTGTATTATTCTTTTTTTTACTGCTGTTGTTGTATTAAATTTATTTGTCTGGGTAGCTTCAAGTCGAAAAATGAGAAGAAAAAAAAACGAATTATAAATATCAACAGAGAGTTGCATGTGCGTCAGTTATTCTCGGCTAAAATACGACTGTGCATATGTTGTTGTACTAGAAAGGTCGTGTTATGATTCACATACATTAAGATAGGAAATGTTATTAGCATTATCAGTGGGTAAATACACATTTTTGTTGATCAATTTCTTCTTGACTCATGGCCGGTTAAAATTTCGACGAATATTTTTCACGGAAGTTCTTTTTTTACGTTCGCTTTTTTGGTTTGAGATTTCTTTTAGCAAGAGCTGGTTTTTAGGGCTTTATTTATCAATTGGGAATCAAACTAGCGTCATTCTGTTGCATACTCTTAAGCTATTGAGCTACCGGGATTTACTGAAAATCTTGAAAAAATTCCAACTTGAACTATTAATATGTTCTAAACAGGAGCTTTATAGTATCGCTGATTCGGCTTTACTTTGGAATCTCCAACATCTTTTTAATTTAATTCACAAACAATGTTTAATTATCTAACAGAGGCAGAGAATACTAATTATCCCTAGTAAGTGAATAGCATTTCACGTAAAGCTAATATTAACTGAATCAGTCATAACAGTCATTGACAGTTTACGCACAGCTTTGAAAGTATTAAAACACAATTTTATAAAGAATCGTTCACTTATAACGTCCGAAATTAACAGTCATTTTTCAAAAAAGAACAATGGATTTCCAGGAATTTCAATTGTTCTTTTCTTTCTAACCCCCCCCCCCTACCGGGACCTCATAAGTGAACAGTCGGTAAATGAAAAAAATCACTGAATTATTTTTGTGTCGATTAGTATAGACTGCATGGTGCATTGAATCTTTCTGTGTGTGCAAGAATTATCTCTTTTTCAGAGAGGGGTCGTTCACTTATGACGTCCGAAATTAACGGTCATTTTTCAAAAAAGAATAATAGATTTTCAGGAATTTTCATTATTCTTTTCTTGCTGATGCCCCCACCCCCTGGACGCTATAATATGATTAATTCCAAGAAGAGCATCCTATAAAAGATATTCCATAACCATTGCTTGAATTATTACCATTGACTATTTAAGTATCTCTTCATAATAATAAGCACGTAATGTTTGAAAACAACAAAAATAAAGCATTGACAAAAATTGCGAAATTTCAGTTTATGAGACATGTGACATAAATATTTGAGAGTCGTTCGCTTATTACGGAGAGGAAGAAAAGTCTTTTTTGAATGATCAACTGAGGCTGGTTTATATGACTTACCCAAGCAACCTAACCTTCAAATGGTGTACCTTTTTGATTAAGGTTAGATTGGGTCCCATAGAAACCCACTTTTTGATCATTCACTTATGATATCCGAAATTAACGGTCATTTTTCAATGTTATTTTTTTTCTTTTTGACCCCCCCCCCCCACCCCCTCCTGGACGTCATAAGTGAACGGCCCCAAATTATAATTTTTATATGTTCCGCATTCCGCATCTTGATCCACGTTCATTTGAGATTAGAACAATATTAAGACCAAAAGATATAATAGCACCTGGATCATTTACAAACCTCGTCCTCCCCCTAATAGCGTTCCGTAAAAAGTAAACGACCCCATAAGCTGTGTAAGATTTACTCTAAGGTCAAGTGAACAGCAAACACAATCGAATAGAAAACAAAAACAACAAAAAAATTGTTTGTTATCACATTGAAATTTTATGCATGAGCAATAAATTAATGGAACGTATTGTGTAGCTCGATATAATCGAATAATAGTTATTAAAATAATGAAAATAGATTAAAAAGGTGATAATGTCGTATTAATTAATCTTGATGCTTTGCAATTTATCTAGCTAAACTGTTATGGAAATATACTTTTATGGCAACATTATTTTCACATGTTCTGCATTTTATTACCCCCAACTAGTCCATGTATGCAAAAATATTATTGATGATAAAATCTATTCAATAATAAAATTTCAATGCTATTGGCTATGAGCAAGCTTTAGACTTTTCACGTTCACAATTTATTCAACTTACAGACTCTATTTATCAGCTGAAACCTTTGCCACTTGATTTATTTTTTTAACACTTAACGTCTCTACTTTAAGTAAAGTTACTAAGATGACAGTTGGTGGTCGACTAAGTCATAAACGAGCGATGAGCATTTATTAAAGCTATAATTTATACGTTTTTGCAAAGAAACTTTATGGAATTATGATGAGATGAGATGTTTTTTCTTTGTGCTCGTGAGAGAGATGCCTTACTTACTCCATTTTAGCCGGTTATTACTGAGAAAAAGTTACTTTCAGGAAGATTTGTGAGTAATTTAACATGAAATTTGTTATCAATTTTAAGTAGAATCGAAGCTGTTTACTGCATTTATGAATGAAATGTTTTTAAATAATATTATTTAATGTTTTTACTTTTAAACTTTCCCATTTTCTGAGAACTGTTGTGATGCAATTTAAGAAACCTTTTATAACGTCTTTTGGAATATTCAAAAATTAACGATTTCTAGATTTTTAAAAAATATTTCTACAAAGTTTGACATTTCCTCGTTCATTACTTAATTAATTTAACAGGTATTAAGGCAATGGAATTATACAGTTTAAGATTGAAACGATCTGTTCCCTACCCGATTCGTTTTGCATTTAATAAATAAATAACGTACAAATAAAATTTAAATTTTATAAAACAACAACAACAACAACAACAACAACAAACAAAATAACGTAAAAAATTGTCAATTATGGATCTCGAAATATTGGATTTAACAAACGAAGAAGACTATCCTGAAGATCTCATCGAGCAGACTAAACTGTTAACAAGTGCATCAGACGAAATTGAAAGCTTAATTGGAAATGTAAATGACTTTTTCAAGGAATTTTCCGAGTATTCTAAAGTTAGAAATAATGAAGAAAAGAAAATTCTTAAGGAATTTGAGCGTTATTGCAGCCACCTAAATGAGTACATTGATCATATTCATGTTGAAATTACAGCACTTGTTGATGGTAAGTCAATAAATTAATTGAAAAATTGTTCAATAAAAAATTAAAATTAGTTTTAAAAGAATCCGAAAAGCAGCAGCTAGAAAGTCAGAAGACGATTAATGAACTAAGACATGAAGTTGAGCTCCAAAAGAAGCAGAATGCAGAGATGAAAGAAAAATATGAAGAACAGCTAAAGATGACAAATGATATTAAGGAACAACTTGAGATCCAGAAGACAGAAAATAGCGCTTTAAAGGAGAAATATGATCAATTAGATGAAGAAACAAACGTTAGTCTTACATACACAGCAGTAATTGGATCAGTTCTTTCAAAAATGCTATGGAAAACGTCAAAAAACCCGCAAGCAATTCAAACATACATCGAAACTGGATCTATGAATCAGTTCCTGAATCTTGTGAACAAGACAATATCTTCATTTGATGAAACCTATAAGGATGGCTTGCCTGATGTCGATACATACGAGTTTCAATTCATTCTATCACTTCTTGGCATATGCATCAATATTATGGCACAAACTGTTGGACGTGAATTCGTTCTTGAACGTGTCACAGGACAGAATTTATTTAGGAATGTTATATCATATATGGGAGGAATTCCGATGCCAAGTGTTGGAGGTCCTTTACTTAAACGTATGATAATTATGATGCTTTATAATTTGACATTTACAAAGCAAGGCAGTTTCTTGATAGAATCATTAGAAAATAGTGTCGATAACATCATTAATTGCTTTAATGCACATCATACAGCTGAAATTCAATCAATTGCTGTCTCATTAATTAGTCAACTGCTAAAAGATTCACAAACAAATGATTTTTGTTTAAAAGTAAGACAAAAGGTAAGAATCACTTATTCTCTATTGTTTTATTATCAGTTAATAATATTTAATCTCAAAAAAATAGCTATCACAAAATGAAGATGACTTTAAGATGCTGATGAACACTGCCGACAGTACAACTAAAGAAATTTGTACTCAATTAATCAATCAGATTCGTGAATTAAATGATGTTATATCATTTGATTAAAGTAATCGTGGCTTGACTACCTTAACAAATGGAGGAGGAATCAATTCATACTTTTCTCTCAAGTACTCATCGCCTTCAATCAATTTTTGACGTAGAACTTGTGGACTTATTCGTGTTGAGATCACTAAGTGGCGTGAATCATCCTTTCCATAGCTTTTAGTACGAAGATTTAACTTTGCTGCGATTCTATTAATTAAAAGAAATCATTTTTAATATTTGTTGAGTTTTGAACTGATTTATGAAAGCTTAATAAAGACAATTAGTGGTCTAGATCATAAAATTTTAAAATTTTCAACTGCCGTAATAAGTTTGAATCTGAGAAAATTTAACGGACTTTCGAAATTCAAATGATTTAGAACCATTCAGCAGCCTTTGAAAGTTTCAAAACTATACAACAGCTTTTGAATGTTTCAAACCATTCAACAGCTTTTGAATGTTTCAAAACCTTTCAACAGCTTTCGAATGTTTTAGAACCATTCAACAGCTTTCAAATATTTCAAAACCATTCAACAGCTTTCGAATGTGTCAGAACCATTCAACAGCTGTCGAATGTTTCAGAACCATTCAACAGCTTTCGAATGTTTTAGAACCATTCAACAGCTTTCGAATGTTTCATTAACATTCAACAGCTTTTGAATGTTTCAAAACCATTCAACAGCTTTTGAATGTTTCAAAACCTTTCAACAGCTTTCGAATGTTTCAGAACCATTCAACAGCTTTCGAATGTTTTAGAACCATTCAACAGCTTTTGAATGTTTCAAAACCATTCAACAGCTTTTGAATGTTTCAAAACCATTCAACAGCTTTCGAATGTTTCAAAACCATTCAACAGCTTTTGAATGTTTCAAAACCATTCAACAGCTTTCGAATGTTTCAGAACCATTCAACAGCTATCGAATGTTTTAGAACCATTCAACAGCTTTCGAATGTTTCAGAACCATTCAACAGCTTTCGAATGTTTCAAAACCATTCAACAGCTTTCAAATATTTCAAAACCATTCAACAGCTTTTGAATGTTTCAAAACCATTCAACAGCTTTCGAATGTTTTAGAACCATTCAACAGCTTTCGAATGTTTCATTAACATTCAACAGCTTTCAAATGTTTCAAAACCATTCAACAGCTTTCGAATGTTTCATAACCATTCAACAGCTTTCGAATGTTTCAAAACCATTCAACAACTTTCGAATGTTTCAGAACCATACAACAGCTTTAGATAGTGGTGCATTAGGACCTTAGGAAATAAGTAACTTACTGATGAATGGATGCTCGCTCTTCTTTCCCGAATTCAGATGAAAATATCAAGTCATATTCCAATTGATTCTGTTTAAAAGCCTGCAGTAAATTTCGGAAGTAATTTTGATCAAAATTAGCATTTTCACTGCCTAATCCAAGACGTCCGATTTTAATTTCTAGATTAATTGGATCAATTATTCCAGTTCCATTAGATCCCAATGATCCACCTTTCCATCCTAATTTTGAGAGAAGCTTAAAGCCTAGATTGCCTTCTTGTATTTGATTTGGCTTCTCATTAACTGGCTTATTTCCAGTTTTCTTAATCACGTCCTCGCCTGAATAGAATTTTAACTTTGATCGAATTGTATAGCAGTTCTCTCGAAGAACTTTAATAAAATCTTCATCAGCTGCCTTTTTTGCAACCTTCTTAGATTCACCAGTTCCTTGAGCAATGATTTGGTCCTTGAAAACATAATAATACGTCGTCGTTCCTTCATCAAATTTGATGTCAAGCTTACCAACCTTTCTTATGCAGGCAGTAGTTTTATTTAGGCAGTAATTCATGTCATTGTCTTCATCATTCTCAAATACTATCACATCTCTTAGCAGAACCTTCAAGTTCTTGGCTTTTTGTGCTGCAATAAGCTTTGTCCATGGCTCAGTTTGACTAGTTGCCTGAACATAACTTTCCCATTGTAATTGATCAGCTGTACTCCATCCATTCTGTTGTGCAACGCTGTTCTTCTGATTTGTGTCAATCTTAAAGCATTTTGTGGCTGGATATTCTATGGATTGATAATGATTAGGTGTAAAAGTCCTTGTTTGTTGAACAGTTTTTGGTGTTGTCTTATTATATTTAGCTTGAATAGCATCTTGTGCTGTTACAAATGTTCTCTTTAACTTATTATGTCTACTTTCACGATACTTTCTGATTTGTGGAACATCATCTGACATTAATTTAATCTTTTGCATGATTTCTGCAGCATATCTACATCCAAGGAACTCAATGTTCACAAACAGTTGTGCACAGCATAAGATTTCTTCTTCATCGTCGATTTTATCCCAGTGATGAATCATAAAACTATAATTAAATGAATTTTAAAATATGCAAAATTTCATGCTTTTTAAATTTAACTTACTTTTTCCTTAAATTCCAGTGTTCTACAGACTCGTATTCTTTTCGATATACATCAAAGTCTACTTCATCAGAACTCTGAATACTTGACGCTGTCATTATCCAATATATATTATTAAAATTGTATTTTAATTTACTCTTTCTTTTAAAAATTAAGTAGAAAGAATACCAAAATATTGGAACTGGGTGACTAAAGCGCATTTTCTTTGCATTAATCAAAATCTGTCATATCTCATCTAGGTCCTCAACAATGATCCAGTTCAAGTCATAGTTAAAGATTCAACTATGTAAAGGGTTTTTGAAATAATAATTTTAATGGTTTTTTGTAATTTATATAAATGAGCTCAAAGCTTAATATTTGTACCTGAAATGTCTCCGAAGTTTGTAGACTTTTATGTTTACATCCAAAAGTTTGTGGCATACTCTTTAAAAATCATTAAGCTAGCATTTTTTCGGACGCATTTTTCATTTAATAATCAAGTCAAGAACATGTCTAACGAAGATTGGGATATTGATTCATATAGAACCGACTACGAAAGTGATGAACATTGGCAATTGAAGAAGGATTTCATGGAAGGTATGTAAATAAATAGGATATTTGATTGATTCATAGAGAATTTCAAAATTGACAACTTACAGCACATAAAGACAACTTTACTGAGGATGAATTAGTCTGTCTAGCTCAACTGTTCTTTAATATAGAATTGCTAGGATGTAAATATTCACCAGAAATTATGCGGCAGATCGGTGAACTTTCTAAAGGAATTGTTGACGATTATAGAAAATCCAGACAAAGTAATTTAAAGAGAACATTTGTAGCTGGCGGAGATGCAGCAAGAAATAAGGTTCAACGTAAATAGATCTACGACAAATTCATCTAATTTCATTTATTCATACTGTTTGACAATGCACAAAAATATAGCAATCAATCAATAAAACCTTCATTCCTCATTCTCATAATTCGTCATAATCTGACAAGATCCACGCACTAATTTAAACCGTTCCACAGCATCTCTTGTAATTTGCGAGCATCCACGAACATCCAAAAACAATAATCGAGGAGCATTAGTCTCTAAATGTGACAGCGTTGTATCAGTTATGTTCCTGAAATTCCTCAAAACAATTCTCTCAAGATGTGTATTTCTTTCTGTCTCTGCCTGCTGATTCCCAAGAAATATCAAGTTTCCCATCAAGTTTGATCGCGGAACTCCAAAAGCCAGCATCCCACGATCACTGATTGATGCTGATATGCGATGTTCACGATTTCTCGCTAATGATAAGAACCTACTGCAAATGGAGAATATTAAAGTTCATTGTTTAAGTAGCTTATAGCTGAATAATTACCTTGCATGCGGAATATCATCACTTATGATGACTTGTAAGCGAGCATTTTGATTAGGATTCTCTGTGATGTTTGCCTGAATAAATATTGTCCTTGATTGCACTTCTTCGGTCGGCGATTCCGATGGTAAAGAATCGGACATGCTTTCTGGAGAAGATGGGGCACTAATTGAATTATCGTTACTGTCATCAATATTAGCAGCAATCACTGAGTTCGAAAGTCCATTCTCATTCTCTGCACTTTGATTCTCAGCTGTGTTAATGACAATTTCCCTCATTGTCGATGGATTTTCATTCTGTAATGAGTTTGATGGCTGATTAAGTGCCTCATTTCGTAAACGTTGAATTCCATCGGCATTTAATACAACAACATCTCGAGACGTTGATGGTCGTGGCTCATTTTGTGGTTCTCTTAAAGGAACTTGCTCAGTCGGTCTACGTCTCATTCCACGAAAGAAATGCTGAAAATCGTCATCATCGTCTGAATCATCATCATTTAACTCTACATCTGTATGCTCCAAATATAGTTCCTTTAATGTCTTTAGAGCATTTAAACATTGCACTTCACTATCGCTAATGTTCGTCTCACGAAGATCTAAAACTTCCAACTTTTTAAATCCGAATCGACATGATAAGGAAATGTACGGAACACAATTACGAAATCGCTTACAGCCACGTAGACTTAATATCTTTAATTCCTGAATTTTTGACAGTGGCATCAGATCATTAGGCTCAAAAAAGTTACAATATTCTAGTCTCAATTCCTCAAGATACGGCATGTGATCAAATATATTACTAAATGTACGACTCATTCGATTGCGATCTTTTGGAAGTATACAATTAGTAAAGACTAAAGACCTGAGATTAGCTGGGAATTTAGTTATAGTCCAATCGCGTGTCCAATCGAACCAAATTTGATGAAAATGAAGACTTTCGATGAATGGCGAACGCAACATGATTCTTTTAATGATTTCTTTAAATGTCTGTCGATTCTTTAATGGACGTTTTTCCATTAAATCCTTTTTAGAATCTCCTTGAATCTTCAGCTTCTTAGTTCCTACAGTCAAATACTTAAGTCTTTTTAAAATTTCCCATATATCGAGATCCTTTGATGCAAATACTGCTTCTGTCCATAGCTTTTTGTCAAGAATCAAGTTCTTTAGATGCGAACATGTCCTAAAATAAGCAATAATAGTCAATGTATATTAGATAATTAAGTATAGTCATTAACTTACAGTGAGACATTATGCAGACTTTCTCCGTCTAATTTTATTGCAATTTCAATCAATAACTCGTCAGCTAAATGAGATTATAATGATAATTAAATGTAGTGTTAAGATAATTGAAGTTATTTACCGAGATCCAGCAGTTCAGGCTGCTTTCGTTCATCCAAAAAATGGATTTTCTTTGATATTAAAATGTTTTCTTCTTTTTCTTTTTCAGTCTCATCTTTCTCAAGCTTTCTCTTTCTATTCTGTCCTTCTATTGAATCTGTCATACTGGTCTACGTGAGAAACTTGTCAATTGCATGAGCAGATGAAGAAATAGACAGCTAATTCCTCAAAATACCTTAAATAATAAATAATTATTTCCAAATATTTTTTTAATAAATTTGTAGACTTTTTATCTCAAATTGAAAACATGTTTTATGTCCAATTTTGTCTGTTTGTCACCAGCATGCGCATTATATCCAACAGAAGTAATTCCTTACTGTTTTTGTAGACATTTCTGTTTGTAAACATTTCTAAACGAATAAGACACAAAAGTTTAATTAAAAATGACGAGTAACGTACCACCAATAAAAAGATACAGAAGAGAAGAAGATAAAGATGAAGCAGATGAATCAGACGACAGCAATTATACACCGTATGTTCCTGTAAAAGAACGAAAGAAACAGCAATTATTTAAATTAGGTAGATTAGTGCAATTATCAAATGAAGCCGCAAATATTGGAAAGTCATCGAGTGAAAATGAACATGATTCAGACATGAATCAAGAGGAAATGGGACGAAAGTATAACATATCACTGTTTGATCAACATACAGAATTAAAGAAAATTGCAGAAAATAAGAAAATCAGTGAAGTTGAGAAGCAATTAAAGGAAGAAGAAAAAATTTTGGAAAGTGTTGCTGAAAAGAAGGCTCTTATGGGTGTTGCTGAATTGGCTAAAGGTATTCAATATGAAGAACCAATAAAGACAAGCTGGAAACCTCCAAGATATGTTTTAGATAAGCCACCTTATGTCCATGACGCAATTAGACACAAGTTGAAGATCCTTGCTGAAGGAGAAAATATCCCACCACCATTAAAGACATTTAAGGATATGAAGTTCCCAAAGCCAATACTTCTGGGACTTGATCGGAGAGGAATTAAAAAACCGACCCCAATTCAAGTTCAAGGAATTCCAACAATTCTTTCTGGACGTGATTTAATCGGAATTGCATTCACTGGATCTGGTAAAACTTTAGTTTTCGTTCTTCCAGCCATCATGTTCAGTTTAGAGCAAGAAGTTCGATTGCCATTCGTTGCAAATGAAGGTCCTTATGCATTAATTATTTGTCCATCACGTGAATTAGCTAAACAGACGCACGACATTGTTAGATATTATTGTGGACATTTGCAACAATCTGGTTTACCTGAGATTCGTTCTGCATTAGCGATTGGTGGTACGCCTATAAATGAAACAATGGCAGTTATTAACCATGGATGTCATATCTTGACAGCAACTCCCGGACGACTTATGGACATGCTCGACAAAAAAATGATTAATCTCTCGATTTGTAGATATTTGTGCATGGATGAAGCTGACAGAATGATTGATATGGGATTTGAGGAAGACATTCGTACTATTTTCTCATATTTTAAGGGACAGCGTCAAACACTTCTCTTCTCAGCTACTATGCCTAAAAAGATTCAAAATTTTGCAAAGTCTGCATTAGTTAAGCCTATCACAATCAATGTTGGACGTGCTGGTGCAGCATCAATGAATGTAGCACAAGATATTGAGTATGTTAAGCAGGAAGCAAAGATGGTAGCTTTATTAGAGTGTTTAAAGAAAACAGCACCACCAGTTTTAATGTTTGCCGAGAAGAAACAGGATGTTGATCAGATTCACGAATATTTATTAATGAAAGGTGTTGAAGCTGTGGCAATTCACGGTGGAAAGGATCAAGAAGAAAGATCTAAAGGTGTAGAACAATTCCGTAATCAAGAAAAGGATGTTTTGGTAGCATCTGATGTTGCTAGCAAAGGACTTGATTTCCCTGATGTACAGCATGTAATTAATTATGACATGCCAGATGACATTGAGAATTATGTTCATAGAATTGGAAGAACAGGACGTTCAGGAACAAAAGGATTAGCAACAACTTTCGTGAATAAAGCAACAGATCACTTTGTGTTATTAGATTTAAAATACCTGTTAATTGAAGCTAAACAGAAAGTTCCTCAGTTCCTTGCAGAATTATGTTCAGAGACTGAAAAGAATCCAGAATTAGCTGATGGATGTACATATTGTGGTGGTTTAGGTCACAGAATCACTGACTGTCCTAAATTGGAAGCAACTCGAAAGGAACAAGCTGCTAATATGCGAAAACCAGACTTCTTATCCAATGCTGATTATTAATTTTACTGTTTTTATATAATAAAGAATTACTTTAACAATTAAAATGACATTTTTTGATCTCAATAAACCTTGAAATTGTTCACGTTTCAGAAAATTTTCACTTTGATTTTTGATTTCAACGAAACCAGTCTCAATTCATCAAAAAGCAAATAGAAATGGCATCAACATCAAACGATACTAATTCTGAGGTCTTCGATTTAAGTTCTGAGAAGAAGTTGAACGATTTAATGAACGAATATTTGGCAATGAAGAAAAATGAACGAAAGGTAAGTGGAACAACAGGAATTAATGAACTTTCAATAAATCATTTCTTTTGTAAGCAGAATATCATCGCTAGCTTGCATCCAGTCATCCAGAAGAGAATTCACGCATTGAAGGTTTTACAAAAGGAAACAATTAATTTGGATGCTGAATTTCATCAAAGTGTCTATGAATTGGAAAGAAAACTTCAAGACAAGCATGATGAATTTTTCAAGAAACGATCTGACATTGTGAACGGACTGCATGAGCCATGCGATAATGAATGTCAATTGTCTGCTGAGGAGCTTGATAAGTTAGTGCCAATGGAAGGAGAAGAAGTTGAAAATGGAATCCCAAAATTTTGGTTAACGGTGCTTAAGAATGTCTCTGAAATTCGATCAATGATTAAGGAACATGACGAGCCTATATTAGAGCATTTAATTGACGTTCGTGCATACTCAAATACATCACCAAATCTCTCGTTCCAACTTGAATTTCAATTCGCACCAAATGAATTCATTCAAAATTCAGTCTTGACAAAGACTTACTTGATGAAATGCGTACCAGACGATGATGATCCATTTTCATTCGAAGGTCCCGAGATTTATAAATCAATTGGATGTGAAATTATGTGGAATGCTGGAAAAAATATCACTGAAAAAGCTTTGAACAAAAAAGGATCATGTGCTGCTCGTCTGTTCAAGACTGATTCATTTTTCAATTTCTTTAATCCACCCGAGCTTCGAATGGATGATTCAGACGACAATGATAAAATTGAGGTAAAGGAAAGTATTTTTTCAAACTTTAAAGACATGACATTTATCTTCTATATCCATTAAAACAGGAATACTTGGAAAATGACTTTGAAATTGGGCATTATTTGAAGGAACGAGTAATTCCACGTGCTGTATTGTACTATACAGGCATGATTGATGATGATATATCCGATGATGATGATGACGAGGATGATGACGACGATTCGATTACATATCATGCAGAAAATTATGAAAATGAAGTCACTGATGTTGATAATTAATCAACTCAATTTTTCACTTCAAGGAAAATTATTACGAATTATGAGGATGTTGTAGATTATTGGAAATGAATAAAATTGATTGTTATTGAAAATGTATGTAGGATGTATTTGTGCCTTTAATAGTATATTTTCAGATGTAGAGCTAATGAAGTTAAGGCAGATGATCAAACCTCGTCATTTCCTGACCCGAAAAATATTTGATGCTCATTTTTCCAAACATACAAGTTTAATGCATACAAGGCAGTTCCTATTTATTGCGAAAATATGGAAATTTATTATCATGACCTCTCATTATAAAATTTTTATGGCACATCTGCATTTGGTCGAATGCATTTCCAATAAATTGCAATAATATTGAATGGCAAAAATCTAAACATGTAATTTTCGAATCGTCATGGGATTGTCAAATTGGACTCAGTTTTGAAGGAAATATGCATTGATCAAAAAATCACATGCCACTTACCACTAAATTTCCCAACAGCACTTTAAACAATACCGAACATAATAAACAGCAGTGTGGAAATATTAAAATCCCCTTATCATTTTTTGATACATATAACAAGATATAGGAACGAGGAAAAATGGTTTCTGGTAAATTCATCGCATGATGATGACTATTCAGTGTTTCCATTGTAGAATATGCTTCAACACATACCGCATGGGATGCTTTTAATATGTGTATAAATAACTGCTGGCGATGAGTGAAAATGCGAAATGCATGTCGAACATACTATGCAGTAATTAAATAATCAACACTCAAAATATTTCCATTTTCACTCAACCCTCCTTGCTTGCTTTTGCTTCCTATCCATATTATCATTGTGTGGTTAAGCCTCAAGCTCGTGTTTTTCCGTAAAACAGAATTTTTTTAAAAAAGTGAGAGGATTTTCAGTCTTTCCAAAAATGGAAACATTTAATTTAATTCAATTTATAAATCACTTGTTCCGCGAATATATGGGATTACTTCTGCTAATTGTGTGGACTATGGAAATTGATTTTACTGTAAATGGGTCGTTCGTAAATGATGTCAAACATTTTATTCGAAAGGATTAGGACTATAAGTGGAAGATTCTGAGTTCAATCTCGGTCATGTCTTGTTTCATTGTATTTGAAGCAAAGGATCTTTCATCAGTTGATCATTTCATCAGTTGCGTACCCTTGTTCGAAGCTCGTTCTTAACTTTCGATGGAGACTCCTTTATTAAATACACTGAAATGCACCTAAACTGCAAGTAGCTATATCCGAAAAAAATATATATTTTTAAAATAATAAATAAACAAAATAGCCACGGACGTTGGATGTAATAAATAACAAGCATGTTTACCTTTAAAGTTAACAAAGTTAATTCATTTTTCACTTACTTAATCGATTGTTTGTTGTGTGGTTTGTTTCGTGTTCATTTATCTATTGTAAGTCAACCATCAATGAATGCAAGAGTAATGGGAGAAAAACAGATTGTTTACTGATAAATAAATAATACATCTAGCTACAGTCTACATCCGATATACATTCCGAATTGCTGGGATTTTTGGAGCCAACCGTACAAGACAAATCAATGAAGATATCGTACTCCAGTTTCCAATTCTATACTTTTTATTTCCTACCATCGCATATAGCTTTCACGTTTATTTATTGATATCATCGAGGGAGTATATCCGACATCACGGGAAAATTTATTTTACATTTTCGCTCTGCTGATCGAATTTCGAAAGCATTCTGAAAATTGTTTTGCTACTACTAGATCTATATCTGTATATCCTCTCTTGCTACCTGTTCCCATGTGGATTCTCATTTTTAAATTTTATTTCTATCTCCTTGCCACCATCAATTTGCTTCTCTCTCTCTTCTGCAGATTTTCTATATTGTATGCTTTCCTGATCCAGTTCCTTACTCTTGCTCTAAATAAAAAAAGATATTCGACATATGATAGCTGAGTGGTGAGATAAAGTATGGCAAAAAATTTCATAGAATTCTCTCGACAAACCTCTAAGGAACTGATGCGGAAAGCTAAAACAGCATCATAAAATTAATTCTGTTTTTTTTTCTTGCACTTCGATTCTCGAACTATTATTATAGATTTATTTTGAATGCAAACATAGAATCTATTCTTCAGCATCTAGACACTCCAAAGTTTCATAAAAAAATATTTTAATTTGATACTTTTGAGAATAAGATTCAAAAATTTATGACTTCCTTTCTTTTTGCTTCGTATTGAACTCTACATTCATTGCTTGTAAGTACTTTCCTAAAAGCTTTTGGATATAAAATCTCGTTTCTGATGCAATTTTTGTTCATTTCCAAAAGAATTTCAATAAATGCTTAGGAAATAATTATTGCTTTTCTTTTCTTCCTTTATTTTTTATATATTACTGATATTGGTAAAGTTTCTTCGCAAAAGATTCTGTTCTGCTGTTCTGAAGATATGTGATGCATGAGATGAACATTTTTACAAAGCTTTGAATTCATGATAATTTGCAGAGCTCGAAGTTGACTCTTTAGAGTCTTAACACAGTTTAAATATACTTTAATATAATCAAACGTTTTATTCGGCTCTTATATACTTAAATATCTATTCAAAAAGTGACCGTAATTTTTCCGCTCAATGAAGCTTCATCCCCTGAATCTTAGCGCAGCTTCAGACCCCTAAAGACTCGAGTTAACTCGAGTCGACTTCTTTTTTGGGAGTTGACTACAAAAATGAAGTCAACTCGAACCCTATCAACTTCGAGCTCTAATAATTTGCCTTTTTTTGGTCGACCTTGTTTAGTTCTTCAATCTAAGAGTATCTGTTGAGTTATTCAAAACCAGGCAAACCTTTTTCAGTTAAAATTAAGCATAATCAGCCTTTTAAGACTCAAGTATTCAGTCAAACCCGATCGGCACACATTGCAATGTTTGTCACCCGGTAGCGGGTTGATAGTATGATTAGAACCATACGGAAGCTGCTTGGAAGCAACTTTCAACTGGATTCAAGTGTTTCAAGTGCTTGCCACGTGAATCCATTGCCAATTGGTTCTAATTATACTATCAACCCAGCTGCTGGGTCGCAAACATTTCAATGAACTTCAATGTGTGCCGATCGGAACTGTTTAACAAAACCATTGATGACTTACCTTAATAAACAAAGAACTATTATGTTTTGTGCCGTTTCATGCTTAATTATACAAAGGATATCAAGCTCACATCTAGAATTTTGTAGATCCAGTTAAGTGCACAAATAAGCATTAATTAACATAATAACTCAAATTTGTTGAAAAATAATAAAAGCAATGTTTAATGAGTAATGAATTTTCATATTAAAGAATCATATATGCTCTAGAAACTGTATACAATTCATTTTGATTAAGTATTCAGCTCCCACTCTCCTCATGAGAAGCTAGAACTAAACAAATAAATCTATAGAGTTAACATACTAAATTAAAGCAAAAATATACTTTTTAAAAATATAAGCGAATTCATTTGAGATTTTTAAAATGAGCACAAAAAAAAAACTTTTAATTTGGAAGTGAAAAAAAAGAAAGCATATAGCACAAAATGAGAGTGCAGGAGCGAAAAGAAATATAAACAGAAAAACACATAAATCACTGATGGAGGAAACACATGTATATACACGAATACATGACTTTCCACATCACCACTTGGGAAGCATAAAGAAAACTTTTCACCTCCCCTACCTATTTTCGTACTCTTTATCTACATAACCAGGTATACTTTAAAGCTCTATCCAAGATATTAAATTTCGCGATTTTTTTTTTTTGCTATTCAACAGAAGGAATATGTGTATAGAATGAGTTTGAATGGTATACATTTGTGATGGGTGATAAGTTCGAGGTAGGGTGGTGGGAGCAATAAGAAAGGAAGTCGAATTCAACAAGCACATACGACTTAATCTTGCATCATCAATTGGCAACGGTAAAAGTATGATATAAAGCTTAACTAAAGTGCTCTGAAAGAGCATCGTCGTAAAATTTGCTGCCAAGCAGGATGGAATAAAAAATGAATTCGAAATGTATTTGTTGATGTGGAATGAGAAGTGAACGAAGACGAACACAAAAAAAATGGAAGGGGATGATGACACTAGAGTGTATTTTATAGTACTTTATGATTCATAAAATTAATCTACATTGCTTGAGATGGAGGACGATAGCTGCTAATGTAGCTGCAAATTTTTTACAAACTCTATTATTTTCACGTTTATCTATGAACAAAATACTTTCGCATTATGAAATGATAGCACTCCCAGTCATTGGTGCTCCTTTTACTTTTTGTCTCTCATCTTCGAATGAGTTGCCACGACACTAAAGCTTCTTTTATATTAAGTATAATAATGATACTATAATTACATGCAACACCTTTTTACAAAAAAAATCATAATTTTACAATTTTTTGCTGCTCATTGTCATTAATGAATGTTACGTCTGTGTGGGTTGATATGATTATTTGAAGAATTTGAAAAGCAGTCAGCATTTTAAAGCCAGTCAACAAGAACTGAATAGAGAGATTTTAATAATAATCAGCGCATACAAAAGCAGATCACGTCATGTGAAAAGCCGTGAAAAGCAAGGAAAAGTGAGTGTGAACCTGAGATACATTTCAGTCTTCAATATCTGAATAAATTTTCTTTTTGAGTAAAGCTTACGATTTGTGAATGCATGATTATGAGAAAATCAGATTGACTGGCATGAAACTTTCTAGATTTACGATTAACTTGAAGCATTTTTGTCAGACATTCTGTTGAGATAATATCAACGGTAATTTAAAATTCAAATTATCTGAGCATCCACAACAGTTCCTTGCCTCATTAAAAGAAACTCGTCGAACAATAAATATCTCATTTATATATGATCTGTAAAGAGTTTAGACTATGACATTTCAATGGACTCAAAGTATTACATTCACAACTATTTCGTTCCTTAAATCTAGATCAAATTTCCTCAAAATCCATAATTTTGCGCTTTCATCAATACTTTTGGCTGCAACTATTTGCAATCCTTCGATCT